TCCCAACAGGCAACGAATAAAACTCGATTCTCATTCCACAACTGTGCACATTCCGTGACAATGTTGATGCTTAATGTCCCACTACTCCTGTGGTGACTAGGCACGTACGCGTATGGAAGATCCGGGACCTCTTGTAGTCTACCAAATTGTCTTGCAAAACGCAATGGCATCACCGGCTCCATATGACATCGGTACAAAAGGTAGCCCTGGAATGACCACAACGCAATGCATCTACTACAGTACTCTAGCAAGACTTGTACATTATACGGTTGCCAAAAGATCTATAAAAATCTAATGTCAGATTGTAGAATATAATTTCTAAGAATGAACATAATAAACAAAAAAACAAAAAAATATAATTTCAAAAAAATGAGACATACGTGATGCGCCAAAAGCACATCAAATTGGTCTCTAAAATGCCACACATTTTGTTGTGCGGTACGAGAGTATTCCTTAGACATCCTCCACCTAAAAAGAGATATTTCACAATTTGATATTAAAAAATTTTAATTAATAATTTTGAAGTATTAAAAGATAGAAGAAATAAAAAGACCTGGCACCATGTGGGTCACTCCCGGGTACATAATCATCATGCCAAGGTCGGGGAAGAGAGTGCACATCCGGACAAATAGTTGTGATTCGTGCCCAATCCCAGAGTTCGAGAAGTAGCATACATCCACATGGACGGGCATTATTATTCACTCAAAGGGATGCGTGACATAAACCACTAAATAATCTTACAGGTACAGCTGAACCCCAACTAAAATTTGCAATCGTGTCAAAATCTCCTTGATATGATACAAAATCTGTAGGTGCAAAGCGGTCAGATGAGTTTGGAAACAAAAGACCCGCCAAATACCCATAGATGACCTGAGCTGTGTAGTGCTCCACCTCCCGATATGTCCATCCAGCATTTGGTTGAACTTGGAGTTCGGGATTTCGAGGAAATAACAATTTGATCTTAAATAGGTCAGGACGGCCCAGATGTTCATCAAAAAGTGTCCAGTTTAGAGCATGAAAAAAATCATGGTCTCTCTACTCTATGGTGCGTCTCAATCCAAGAAATGCAAATCCGTTAATGGGGGGACCCAATAGACACTCTACATCCTGTAAAGTGATACCCATTTCTCTAAAAGGGAAATGAAAAGCATGCACCTCCAGTCTCCATCGCTCAATGAGAGTGGTGATTAAACCATGATCAAATCTAATAGGGTGAACACGGTGTACCCCATAAAATCCAGCCCTCCGTAAATTTTGGAGCACCCTGGGGTCATGAAAAATAGTAGGGATGAGACTACTTTATTGTCGCAAACCTCCTTATGTTTTCATACCCGACTAGAATGATGAGTATTCTGTAAATGTAACATGTCATCTATTCTAGGGCCCGCTATCTCTCTCTCCATCTCTCTTTCTCTTTCCATGTCACCCATTTTTGCACTACAAAAATAAAATAATAAAAAATTATTTTTTTATTCTTAATATTAGTGCATACAAAACATATCTATTTCGAAAAATATATATATTCATGAAAACAATATCTTAAAAAAAAATATAAAAAATAATTTCGAAAAACATATTTTGATATATTTTTATGAAAATATTATTAATATTTACAAAACAGAGTTTAGAATATATAAACATAATCTTAATAAATCAAATGAAAATGAAAACTAATAAAAACATAACATCTATAATCAATATTATTAATATTTAAAAGCTAAGTGAAATATAAGTAATAAAAACATACCCGAGAAATGTTGAATGTTATGGAGTAGTGTGAGAATAGGTTAAATTTGAAGAGTGAGTGAAGTGTTGGGTGAAGGGGTGGTTTGAATAAAAATATATGAGTGATAATTAAAAAGATGAAGGTTAACATTAGTGCATACAAAATTCATTAAAAAACATCTTCATAATTTCGAAAAATATATATTCATGTAAACACTATCCAAAAAATATATATTCATTAAAACACATAATATCGAAAAAAATATTTTCATATATTTTTATAAAAAATTAAAAATAGTATAGAGCACATAGTTGCGAATATATAAACACAATCTATAATCAAATGAAAATGAAAACTAATAAAAATATAACATCTATAATCAATATTATTAATATTTAAAAGCTAAGTGAAATATAAGTAATTAAAAAATACCTGAGAAATTTTGAATGTTATGAAGTAGTGTGAGAATAAGTTAAATTTGAATAGTGAGTAAAGTTGTGGGTGAAGTTGGATGGGTGGGAAGGAGGTGGTTGAAATCTGTGGTGGAGTGAAAAAGGTAGAAAGTGGAAAAGGTGATTAAAGTAGATTCTTTAGAAAGTGAAAAAGGTAGATTATTATCGCATGCACTACATGCAAACCCATTAAAAAATCAATCCGCATGTACTACACGCGAATTCACTGCAAAAATTACTGACGATTTGACAGTTTTAGATTTTTTTTAGTTTTTTTAATTCGCAGGTACTATGTGCGAAATTCCTTCTAAGGAATTTCATGTTCCACTTTAGGAATTAGTTTTTCCTTTTTTTCCGTCTGAGGGAAACCACCCAATCTTAAGCAATGGGGTACTTACATGCCCTGAATGGTTTAAAAATAATTACTCCATATAATAATGCTCGTAACAAAAACAACAACACTACTACAATAATAATACTAATATTAACAAGAGTAAATTCCATAAAAGATCCCTAGTTATAGGCCATTTTACATATTTAGTCCCTACATACCAAATATTACTAATTTAGTTCCCAATTATTTTATTCATTTCCATGAATGGTCTTTTGTTAATATTTCCGTTAAGAACGTGCATTACTACAAAAACAGGCAAATGCATCGGTTATTTTAGAACAATTGCATTGGTTTTTTCCGATGCTAATGCCAGTGATGTAAAAGGTCCGGATCAGTTGCATCGGTTATCATAACCGATGCAATTGCTATCAATTGCATCGGTTATTAGATAATAACAGCTGGGACGCACAGTTTTAATTTTTAATAAATGGAGCAAATGCATCGGTTATTAGGTAATAACCGATGCAATTGTTATCCAATTGCATCGGCTATTACTTAACAACCAATGCATCTGCTCCATTCTATTAAAAAAAATAAATCTGCTCCAGGGAGTAAGACCTGAAGCGCAATAAACAAATGCTTTGAAGAAGCGCAATAAACAATCTGCTTTAGGGAGTAGGACCAGCAAATTGAAGAAGCCATAATAACAAAAGGAGTAAACATCTCTCAAATATAATTCAACTAAAATTGAAGAAGAATTACAAACTAAAGAAGAATTATGGAATATTATTTGAAGAAAAATACATATCCCAGACTTTAAAAAAAATTTAATGGTGGTGACGCTCAAAATCGCTGCTACTAGGGCTTCAGATTTGAACCTACACTTGCATGCCGTCAAGGAAATCCAGCGGTCAATGGAGTTGGCCAAGCTCTCTGATGACCGGAGGAAGGCCAACTTCGTGTTCCAGATTGCCTTCGTGTTCCAGATTGCCTTCATTGCTCGATTCATCACTCCAACCCTATGTGACTAGATTCATTGCTCGATTCGAGCTCTTCATCCTCCAACAACTTGAGAGAATGAGATTTCACGAGCTTCGACTTCGGAGATGAGAGTCCGTTGACCGACGAATTACAGATGTATGAATTCCTCTGGATTTTGTAAGAGATGAAGAGGGAAAGTAAGATTTGTTTGTGATGTGTGATGATAGAATGATTTGGGGGAGAAGAAATATGAGAAACGTAAGAGAGATTTGTGATGATAAAAAGATTTGGGGGAGAAGAAAGATAAAATTGTAAATTCACACTCCTTTCTCTCCTCAATTAAGTTTCCTCCCGCCCATCGCACTCCTTTTCCAAACCCGTCGCTGAGTTTGAAGCTTTGAACCCAAAACTGAAATCATCACTCTTCTCTCAATTGTTTGTCTAACTGATGGAACCCGAATTTGAAACCGGTAACCTTCACGGATGAGTTTTAATGTTTATTTTCTTTGCAATTTCTTGAGACTAATAGATAAAACTCATCAATAAAGCTTATTGGTTTTAATTTTAAGTCCCACCAAGAAGACTAATAATTGAGAGAGGAATGATCATTTCAGTTTTGGGTTTAGAACTTCAAACTCAACGACGAGTTTGGGAAAGAGTATGAGAGGAGGGAGGAAGCTTGATTGAGGAGAGAGAGAGAAATATGAATATACAATTTTATCCATGTTTTTAACAAAAATGTTAACAAAGGACCATTCGTAAAAAAATATATAATAATTGGAGACTAAATTAGTAATATTTGATATGTAGGGACTAAATATGTAAAACGACCTATAATTGGGACCTTTTATGAAATTTACTCTATTAACAATAACAACAGTCGTTTTACAGTTTTATATTTGTAAACACTAATGCCTCCACACTAAAATTTGTATGTCCCAATTAAAAATTAGAATGTCCTCATTACCTTTAGTTTCACAATCTCTAATTGCGTAAAAGAATGCCAAATGATTTTAAATCTTTTAGTAAATTTTTTTAGTTATGTATTTATGTATAATCTCAAAATTTAGAATTATTTATTTACTTGACTATAAATTGTACATAGTAATTTATATTATTGAGATAAATTTAATATTATTTTTATCATTTCACGTTGTCTTTAAAAAAATCAAGGGCGCTAGACCTGGAAAAACTGACCCGGACCCGATAACCCAAACCGAATAACCCAAAACCGAACCCGAATTGACCCGAAAACTGAAGAACCGAACACTCAAAATGAACCGAGACCAAACCGAAACCGAACCTGATGGTGTAAATTATCGACCGGTATATCGTTTTTAGCCCGGCTAAAACGATTAACTAGTCTAAAAAATACACCAAAATATAAACACGGGGATTTTTACGTGGAAACCCAAATCGGGAGAAAACCACGAGCCTTTTTTGGCGGTAGCTTGCCAACGGGGAATTTTTATTAATATCGGGGGTGTGTACACGGTACATGATCTAGGCTAGAAGCCATTAATGGAGCATTTGAGCTCTTGAAGAAGAAGAAAATATACACAAGCTTTCTAGAGAGAGAGAGAGAGTAAATGGGCAGGGAAGGAGTGAAGAGTGTGAATTGCCCCTCCCTCAACAATTAGGGCAACCCTCTCTTTTATAGGAGAGGGTGAGGGCATCTACGGAGGAATATTCTCTTATTCCTCTATTTTATTAAACAGGCCCGGTTTAACTGTTCTTCGTAAATAATTGGGAAATGTGGGCCGAGCCACGTATTATTTCCCATCAAGAAGTCCTCCACTTTTTTGAGCTGTGAGAATCATCAACTTAAAAAAGTAAATAAGTCCTCCGAGTGCTATCTTCAATCTTCGTACTTTAGAATCTTGACCGGTTGATATTGTTGCTAGTCCTCTGAGTCTTCATTAATTCTCTAATTTTTTGAATCAGAAGTTTTTCCTGCAAAAAATAATATGTACAACATATTTTTTTTAACCGGCCTATGCCGTGCTCAAAAAATTATTATCTTTACCGAGGAGCTCGGTGTTAGGTGATTAAGATTCGCGCGAATAGTTATCGTAACGAGAGCGATGTCAGTTCGATAAAGCAACGATGCTTCAAAAAGTTATTTCGTCGAGGTCGGTGTTAATACGAGTCAAGCAAACGATGCGTGAAGAAATTAGTATATCGATGACAACGACCCTAGTTAATAAGAATTGAATCCGATACGGTAGCTTTGTTGAAGATCAGTGTTAGCCCGGCTGACTGATGTAAATATCTTCATGTCTCGCGGAGACCATCTTTGATCAAAGTGCCTCAGATTGAGGGCTTAAATGAATCGGGCGTCCCCGATATGAGCTTTGCTCACTTTTTTGCTGAAACCGATGTGCAATCGGTGTACCCAATTCGATTGGGCTCAGGCTTATTGGAAAATATGTGTAAGACTGGTGTGAAACCAGTGTACCAGTTCGACTGGGTCACATATTTTCTTTATTATACTGAGCAAGACCGGTGTAGTAACCAGCGTGCCAGGCCAGGCCTGTGTCTCAGTCTTCCAATAAGATAATGCTGCTGGCCAGGCCAGATCAACATTGGAGAATTAACCATGTCGGATGGTTTCGAGCCCTCTCCAAGGACCAAAATGCACCCTTCTTCCAGGGCCCCATCTTCTGGGTGATTAAGTCTTTTAATGGCCCTTTGATATTTACTATCCCGGGAAGGCCTTAGCTCACCCCCGTTCAAGTCTTCCCTGAGAAGGGGGAAATAGGATGCGCTACGGTGGACGATCCCTCTTCTATTTCTTTTAATGGGCATCTTTTAGTCCCCAATCAGTTTGCCAGTCTTGGCTGATTCCCCAATACCAGTCAAACCTCATGGGCCCGTGTAAGTATGGTTCGAACCTTCTTCCAGGTCCAGCCCTCTTGCAGGCATACCCTCTTCCGGGCCCCTCTTCCGGGTTTATTATTTTTTTATTTTATACTGAGCAAGACCGATGTAGTAAACGGCATGCCAGGTCCGGGCCTGTGTCTCAGTCTTCCTTCCGAATAATTACCGGGCTTAGCTAGTCCGACACGTACTCTTTATTACCTCGGTTTGACCGGGTAATAATCGCGAGTCTTGTACCAACAGGGAGCACAAACTGATAATCTTGGAGCAATATCATGAATATGTGATCTCAATTTCACGTGGGCTATTCCTCAATTATAGGATAATGCATGCCCATTAAATCTTCAAGGATTGCTAATTTGATTCCTTTGTGCCCACCACGTGTGGTAACTATTTTATGAAAGCATTATTGCTCTTTCCATCTTTAGCCGTTGATTCCACCAAATTTGTATAAATTAACCCAATCAATCATGTGAGTGCTTTATACTATGTCCGCCACATGCTCCTCTGACCAATTTGTCTTCCTTTATTTGTTTTCTTCAACTCATAGCAGTAGATGTAATTGCCATGGAGGAGCAGACATGTGCAGCAATAGAAGATTTCAATCATGGTGACAGCGAAAGCAGACACCAACGGTAGAGATGAGTTTGAGTTGTGGCTGCTAATTTCTCTGGATACAAATTTCAATAGGCCATGGACGTACTTCGAAAGAAGTGGGCTAAGACCTCATTCAACAATGATCTGGTAGTCTTCCAACGGAGAGAGATGTGAATGGCAGTTGGGTTTCTTCAACGGTGGTGACCATTAGGGGATTTTCTCTGGTGTTGTCGCGGCAGTGGTGTGCGGCGGCAGTATTCTTCCGAGGCGGCAGTTTGTTTGAAGTGCGCAAATGACCAGATTCCTGCGGTGGGAGTGTCAGCTACGAAATCGAGTAGAAATTGGAGTCTTCCGTGGTCGGCTGGCTTTAACGAAAACGTTGAAGCGGTCGTGAGGATAAATAACTATGGTGGGGACTCCAACAGTGGCAACTACGAAGTTTGGCTTCGTTGGTAGTAATGGCCGACTCTGGTGGCTGCGGGAGATATGGACGGACAGTTCTCTAGGGAAGTGTAGCTAGAGGCTACCGACAACGGAAAATTGAAATCATCATCTGGAGACAAACAGAGTGGGAGCAAACTTTGGCTCCCATGTCCATCAAAGCCAAAGATTACCTCAGCGTCGGCAATGGCGGACTTCCGGTGCTAGGTGTCGACAGTGGTTCCTGATTGCTCCTCTCCCCCACGCTTCTCCAGCCCGTGGTAGATCTCAGGGCCGGCGACGGGGGAAGCAGTGAGAGGCCTGATTGTGGCGTGTTAGACATGAGACGGAGCCCAGGCCAGCGCCCCCTTGGAGATTGGCTTCTCTGCTTTGACAGCAACGATAATTTCCTCATATGGCGGGGTAACCGTGTGCGATATTGAAGAGGCGCGGAGGTCAGATTTCAGTACTCGATCTAAATCTTTCCCCCATTTTTCCAATGCAGTGAGAGACTCCGTCGAAGTGCTTCTTCTACCGTCGGAATGAGGCAGCCATGACGCCTGAGTCTCCTCCTCGTCGCTGGAAATAGTAAGGTGCTGGAGGAAGGCGTCCGACACTCCGACTGCTGGATGCTGATTCCCGCTGCTGGTTTGTCGTCGTCGAATGGAAGCTCGTCACCAGATGCTTCAGCGGCATGGACAGGAAGAAGTCCATTTTGCGGGCCGATATTTGGGCCCAAACATTTTTTTTTCCTATTCTCTTTTTTTGGCATGGGTAGAATAACAAAACATTTTGATTGTTTTTTGGAAATCAAAATCCGTTTGGAAACAAGGCTCTCTCCCTCGATATTTTTTTTTGGTTGAGCACCATCTCCTTCAATCTTTTTCAAAGAACAAGATGAGAGCACTAAACAAAGTCATGACCTTTTGCTCAGGTCCCACGGTCGGCGCCAAAATGATGGTGTAAATTATCGACCGGTATATCGTTTTTAGCCCGGCTAAAACGATTAACTAGTCTAAAAAATACACCAAAATATAAACACGAGGATTTTTACGTGGAAACCCAAATCGGGAGAAAACCACGGGCCTTTTTTGGCGGTACCTTGCCAACGGGGGATTTTTATTAATATCGGGGGTGTGTACACGGTACATGATCTAGGCTAGAAGCCATTAATGGAGCATTTGAGCTCTTGAAGAAGAAGAAAATATTCACAAGCTTTCTAGAGAGAGAGAGAGTAAATGGGCAGGGAAGGAGTGAAGAGTGTGAATTGCCCCTCCCTCAACAATTAGGGCAACCCTCTCTTTTATAGGAGAGGGTGAGGACATCTACGGAGGAATATTCTCTTATTCCTCTATTTTATTAAACAGGCCCGGTTTAACTGTTCTTCGTAAATAATTGGGAAATGTGGGCCGAGCCACGTATTATTTCCCATCAGAACCGAATGTATTTAGACCCGATTCAGATCCGAACCTGACTTAACCCGAACCGATTAAACCCGAAACCGATTAAACCTGGAACCGATTAGACTTGAAACCGATTAGACCTTAAATGGATGAAATTTTTTAATATTTCATTTATCAAATGAACTTGGAGAAAAAGAATTACCGATATATTTTTACATATGTTAATGTGTTTCTAAAAAAACATATTTAAATGAAATAATATAAACCTAAACCGATACAAACCCGAACCGATAAAAACCCGAACTGATATAAACCCGATCTGATATAAACCCGAACAGATACAAACCCGAACTGGAATCGAAACCGAACCGAAATCCAATCAAACCAAAATAAACCCGGAACTGAACTAACCCGAACCGAACCGACCTGAACTGATTATAACATATATCCAAAAGAGACCCGAAACGAAAAGACCCGTACCGGAACCGAACCGATTGACCCGATTGCTAGGTCTAAAGGGCGGCTAACCCAAACCTTGCCTTATTCTTGCCTATGTCCTTTCATTTTATGGATCTCTCATTGACCTCACCCACATAGGGGCTAGGGCCCATCATACACGGTCTTACCATGAGTAAGAGTGTAAAGAAATTAGATACTTTGAATTTGATTCGTAATTTGTGTATGAATATAATGATTTATATTCGCATAATTTAAATTCAAATATTAGTTTTGATTCGAATACTAAACAAATACAAATAGAAATAAAGGAATATTCGATTCGGAAAAAAGTGCACTTAAATTACTAAGATTTTGTCAAATTAACGTAACACAAACTCTAAAACATATGATATTTAATATTTTATAAAATATAATTTGTGTAAGATGCAAATGTATTAATGTTTTTAGATATTGTATAAGAAATATTGTTCTTCGTTACTTAAGTTATTCAAAATTGACGTGGGTCCATCATATAAATTACGAAGTATGATTATTCGAATAATATTTGTTTAGGATTTGTTAACTATTTGAATATTAATCAAATACAAATCTTATTTTAAATTCATTTCATATTCGGGTTCAGATTCTTATTCAAAAAAAATTAAACAAATACAAATTCAAATATCTTAGTATTCGCTTTGATTCAATTCGTTTACAAGCCCAAGGTAATGTCATATAAGAGAGTATCATAATAAAATGCCTATCTAGACATATAATTGATATAAAATTCTAGAAAATTGTGGACTAGGCCATGCCAATTGGTACTAAAGATAATGTTAAAAACTTACAACGGGTGTTCATACGGATGACAATCACTGTTGATTTATACATACACAAACGATAATCGTCTCTGTCCATAAATGATTATCATTTGTGTCTGTATAAATCATCTATGATTGTCAATTCATGTGAACAAACGTGATGGTTGCTAGCATATCATGGTCCTAGGTATCAATCCAAATGAGTTAATTAATGAGCAATTTCATAGGAAAAACTACAATTCCATTTTTGGTTATTGAGTAAATAACTCTGTTAGCTTATTTTCGTATAATACATGTATTATACACTCGTACTAGGGGTGTAAACGAATATTAATCGGATCGGATGTGCCTTTACCAAATCCGTATCCGTTTATTTTTGTCGGATATCGAATTCGGATTCGGATCTTGACGGATACTGAAAATCAAAACCGTATCTGCATTCGTCGGATATCAGTCGGATATCGGATATATCCATATCCGTTTCCAATTTTTTATACTAAATCAAACAATACTTTAGTTTTCAATTAAACTAAATCAAAATATTATTAAATCAACTATAATTTTTTATGGGATAATTATTTTCTTATTTTTTATAGTTTATGATATTCTACGATGATTTCATATCATAAAAAGATATACACAGTAGATATATACACATACTTTTATATGTCTACACATATTTTTATGTGTCCATACATACATTTTGCATATAAAAATATCTTATACTTTGAGATATCAATAGAGAAACAAAATATGAAAATAAAAAATAGAAAAAACTATATATAATGGATTGGATACACAGATAAACGGTTATTTAAACGGATGTCAATGCGGAGCGGGTTATAAACGGATTGGATGTGTGATTACCAAATCCGTATCCATTTAGCAATCAGATATCATTATTCGGATATGGATGATAACCGCTTTTAACGGATGCGGATATTTTCCATATGAACGGATACGGATGTGGACGGTAATCGAATTTTCGGTTATCCATTTACAGCCCTAACTCGTACGTAGAGTACATAATCTTGGAATTTTTTTGTTTAGAGCGGGAGAAACTACATGTCTTCTTAGGATGTACTTAATTAATGTTTTTGTTGGATATTGGAAGTTAATGTCAAGTTTGTTAGAAGGTTGGAAGTTGGTTAGATAGATATTTTTTTCTTGTTAAGTTGGTTACAAGTTTGTTACGGGTTGAAATCCCCTTTTATATACTCTTGTACTCCATGTTCTTATTTTGAATAAGAGAATTTTCCCTTTCATCTGTTTCTCTTTCCTCACCATCTCAACTCTTTTCTGCGCATCAATGGACTCCAACATGGTATCAGAACTGGTTGAGAATCCTTCTCTTCTTCTTTGAGTTTGATTCTCGATTCATCATCGATCCTTGTCTTCTTCTTCGAGTTTGATTCTTGTTCCTTCATTCTTGTTTCAATGGCAATGAATACACCAAATTTCAATACGATTGAACCTACAAATCCGTTGTATCTTCATCCTTTGGATCATCCAAGTCTTGTCCTAATTTCTCAAAAATGTGATAGAGATGGATTTTGTTCTTGGAAAAAATCAATGACAATTTCTCTTTTGGCAAAAAACAAGCTCTATTTCATGAAAGGAATAATCGCCAAACTGACAGATCCTTTCAAGGCGAGTATCTGGCAGCGTTGCAATGAGATGATAACGTCTTGGATTCTCAATACTCTGAGCAAGGAGATAGGAGAAAGTGTCCTTTACACCAATTGCAGAAGGAGATGTGTTCAATTAATCAAGAAAATTAAATTCTGACAAAGCAGGTTATTACACCAGAATCAAGATACCTTGAGACGAATTAGCTATGTTTTCTCATCTTCCAAATTGTTCCTGTGGTGTTGTCCAAGAGTTTTTTAAATATGAACCAGATAAAAAAACTTGTTCAGTTTCTGATGGCATTAAACTCTGATTATAATGTAAGTAGAGGTAATATCCCGATTATGAAGCCTCTACCTTGTGTTTCACTGGCTTATGGAATCCTTATCCATGAAGAGAGGCAGAGACAAATTCAGTCCTCCACACAGATTGCATCAGAACATAATTCTCTGAATTTTCAAACTCAAACATCTTTTAAGACAACTCATTAGGATATAAAGATTCATGTGTGTGAGAATTGTAAAAAGAAAGGCCACACTACCAATAAATGCTACAGACTAATTGGCTTTCCCAAGGCTTCACTACAGGAAAAAGTGTTTTTTACCGCACTTATTTTGCCACACTTGACCAAGTGTGGTAAAAAATAAAGTTACGCTCAATTTTTTCACACTTATATGTGTGGTTAGAAAAAAGTAGTCAGTCTCCGGCAAATTATATGGGACATCCAGCTGTACCTTCTTTTAGGTACATCCTGGTATTTTTGTAAATTTTGCAAACTTTTTATCCAATGCCCAAAACATATATATGAAACTATTATACATGACAATGAGTACCAGCAGGTTTGAGAAGAAGTACCAGCACTTATGAAAATTATCATATTCTTATTCAATACAAACATGAATAAACCTGAGTTTTAAATTCTCCATGCTGAGTGAGTACAAATGAGTAGGAACGAATCGAATAGAGGAAGAAGTTGATGATGGTACTAAACTTTTAATTGTGAAAAAATTGAACAATACTTTATTTCAGAATGAACATTTTCTTATTTGAGAATGGGTATTGTTTTTTTTAAAAATGAACACTACACTATTTATTATAATTATATTAGACAAATGTGTAAAAATGAGTACTTCTTTATATTTAAAATGAGTACTACCTTGCCAGAATGAGTACTACATATTTCGAAATGAATGTTTATATTTGTACAAGGATGAATACTACTTAATTTCAGAATGAGTAATACCGGGACGTGTCTCCCTACATATCTTAAATTTAAGGAGGATAAGATAATAGATGAGAAAACCCTAAATGGCAAAACACGAGACATGGTGGCATTCAGGTCCGTCGAGTTGATGATGCCTACACAAGAAGACGGAATTGAAGCAGCTGAGCAAAATCAATTGCGTGCATCGGCGACCATGAATCTAAGGTCGGTTGCCTAATTTTCACTCTAAACTTCTTCTTTAAGTTTTTATTTTTCTTTGTTTTAGATCTAATATCAGGAAATCCGAGGGGATTGTTGTGAAATTGGATTCGAGATGCCAACGGATGCACCACGGTGGTGCATCTATTCCCACGACGGTGCACTACGATTGTGCCAGATTACATGGGTTTGGGCTACCTAGTATACATTGGGTTTTAAGCCCATATTCTAAATATCTCCTCTTATCTAGATGTATACTGATAATAAGGAATGTCAACAATTTGTTGCGTGTTCTTTGTTTTATTGCAATATTGATAATCTCTTCAGAGTTGTCAATTTCATATTATACCATATCATTTGTATATCACCTAACTATGCCCTCTTTATCCTTCATAAACCCTTTTATTAGGTCATTGAGACAAATGTTGATCAGAGCGAAGCACTGGATGCACCTCACTTGGAAACAATCAAAAGGATAAGTTAGTGTCATATAATGAGTGACTTTAGTTGTAAGAATAAAATTAACCAATTATAAACTTTTTGTATTAATTATTAACTTTCACAAATTAAGATGTGATATATTTTTTTTCCTTTAGTTGCTACTGT